AGGACTATGATGGGTAATGTTGTAAACAAGAAGATCATCAGGGGTGGCTTCAAGAGAAGTAGATGAAGTGGAGGACTCAACATATGAAGTGGTTTCAAAAAAGGAAACATCAGCTGAGATAAGGTACTTATCTAGTGTTGGAAACTATGTATATGTAGTGCAAAGGGTATATATGTAATTGCTGAGTGTGTGTATATATTTTAGTTAGGTTGTACTGTTGATATACAAGGAATATAGAAAATGAAACATGGTATCAGAGCTCCTGGACGATGCGTGAACCCTTAAACTTTAAACCCATTTCCTTGTTTTTGTTTTTTGGCGACCCAGTCCTTCGTTTTTGTTTTCCGATGACCGGCGATCTCCGGTGACGTCTTTGTCCATGGTTTCTCTCTCTCCAGCGACGTTTGCCCTTAGCTTCTCTTTTTTTGAAGACGTCTAAATCTGTTCTTCGTTGTTCTTTGTTCCCCTGATCTCTCCGGCGACCTCTGTTATCTCCGGTGACCTTCGTTTCATTTCTCTTTTTCCAGCGACTGCTCTTCATTTTTCTTTGTTCCTTTATTATCTCCAGCGCCCTCTGTTTTCTTCGGCGACAACTCTTTGTTCCTCTGTTATCTCCAGCGACCTTTGTTTCTCTTTTTTGGCGAATGTTGATTCTGTTCCAGTCTTTCTTCTCTTCTGTTGTTTGGTGCAGTGAACGTGGAGTTGTTGTGAATCATTTTTGGCTATCCTTTTGTGTTGACTTGGAGTTGTTGTGAATCCTAGTTGTTTGAGATTGGGATGTTGTTTTGTTTGCTTGGGTTGTTTGGTATTGAGAGTGGGATTGTTGAGATTGTTGTGAATCCTGGTTGTTTGGTGTTGAGATTTTTGTGAATCTATGGAGTTGAGAGTTATTTGCTTGACAGTATGGCAGAGGACGGTAAGAAGATGGTGATTGAAATTTTCACTTACTCTACCAAAATTACTGATCGGAAGTTATTGGGAAAAATGAATTATATTCAATGGAAGCGGATTATCCGACGATATGTGTCCAGCATTGATATGTGAGACCATTTAATCAAGGATCCACCTGAGGAAACAGAAAGTGATAATAAAACTCGAAAAAAATGGCTCATGGAAGATGATAAGCTCTTCAATCAGATTCAGAACACTCTCGATTCGTCCGTGGATGATGTGATTGGTCACTGTGATACAGTCAAGGAGTTATGGGAGTATCTAGAGTTCTTGTATGCTGGTAAACAAGACCTGTCTCATGCCCATGAATTGTTATTGAAGATCTATCGAGCAAATATGCAAGAGAAGACGTTGCTCGAATATTATATAGAGATAAAACAAGCCTTTGAAGATAAAATGGCTATGTTTCTTGTCCCTACTGATGTGAAGATGATGCAAGTACAAGAAGAACAAGTGGTAGTGCAATGTTTTCTGGCTGGATTGAGACCATAAATTGAGATAGCTCGTACACAACTTCTTACTAGTGAGACACTCTTCCCTCTCTTACGGATGTCTTTGCTCGACTTCTCAAAGTTAGTAAAGGGGAAGATCGAGGAGTGTCTAAGGACAAAGAAACCCTTAAGGATCCTAATGTTGATCGTGCGGCCCTAGCTAGCATGAAGTCTGGTGATGGCAAAGGTAACAGAGGGACAAGTCATGATATCGGGAACAATCGTGGTAATGGCCCTCGTACTTGCTTTCACTGTGGTACTGAGGGTCACGTAAAAAAAAATTGTTTGAAGCTTCATGGCAGGCCCCTGAATCGGGAATAACCCAAGAATATGCACTTGAGGGGCCAAACACTTTAGGAGGAAAAGAGAATAAAGGATGTGATGGAAAAAGGATGGAGAACGGGATTTGACCACCCAAAACAAAAGAAGGCATGCGATTGATCAAGTGACATGTTGTAAAGATAACATCTGCCCAAAATTCTATAGAGACTTCCATATGAAAAAGGAGAGTACGAGCGACTTCTAATAAATGACGATTTTTGCGCTCAATAACTCCATTTTGCTGAGGTGTATAAACACATGATGATTGATGAATAATACCTCTAGTAGACAAAAAAGAGGAGAAAGGAGTAGAAAAATATTCTTTAGCATTATCACTTCTGATAATTTTAATAGATGAAGTAAATTGATTTTGTGTTTCAGCATAAAACTTACAAAATATGGACAATAATTCAGAATGATTTTTCATAAAGTACAACCAAGTTACACGTGAAAAATCATCCACAAAAATAACAAAGTATCGATATCCAGACTTAGACAACACAGGGCAAGGACCCCAAACATCAGGGTGTACAACATAAAAAAGAGCTATGGCTCTTTTGTTTATCCCAGGGCTATAGGATACTCTCTGGTGTTTTCCAAACTAACACGCCTCACACTCAAGTTGTGACATTGACCTTACACTAGGACACAACCTTTTCAAAATGGAAAGGGGAGGATGACCAAGGCGACCATGTAATATAGGTAGAGATGAATCACTGGTACACGCAATAGGTTGAGAGACAGGAGTGGAGACATCATCGAGCATATACAGGCCACCTGATACATGACCCCTACCAATAATTTGCCTCGTTCCAAGATCCTGAAATATACAATGAGTAAGAAAAAAGTAAACACCACAATTGAATGCATTAGTAATTTGACTAACAAATAAAAGATTAAAGGGAAAATGAGGAAGGCACAAGACAGAGGAGATAGACATAGATTTGTTGAGATGGGCAGTACCACATCCAATAATAGGTGCAGTAGACTCGTTAGCTAAGGTAACCGAAGACAAATTGGGAGAAGGTGTAAATGAGGAGAGAATACCCGTATCGCCCGTCATATGGTGGGCAACACCAGAATCAATGACCTAGTTACTACTAGAAGTAGACAAACAGGTTGTAGGATTACCTAACTGGGTTAATGCAGTGGTAGTCGATGGGATGGATGACTAGGAGCAAGAATTCTGAGTGAGATGAGCATATTCTACTGCAGAGATAGTAATCTGTGATTGGGTAGGTAAGAGACCATCTTGAGTTGCAACATGAGCAAACTTCTGAGTGCCTTGCATATTCAGGGGCTTGCTATGGAGCTTCCAATAATATTTTTTTACGTGACCCTTAGCACCACAGTGAAAGCAAGTATGAGGGCCATTATCACGATTGTTCTCAGTATCACGACTTGTCCCTTTGTTACCTTTTCCATCACTCGACTTCATGCTAGCTAGGGCTGCATGATCAACATTAGAATCGTTAAGGGTTTCTTTGTCCTTAGACACTCCTCGATCTTCCCCCTTACTAACTCTGAGAAGTTGAGCAAGGACATCTATAAGAGAGGGGAGTGTCTCACCGGTAAGAAGTTGTGTACGAGTTATCTCATATTCTGGTCTCAACTCAGCCAGAAAACATTGCACTACCACTTGTTCTTCTTGTGCTTGCATCATCTTCATATCAGTAGGGACAAGAAACATAGCCCTTTTATCTTTAAAGGCTTGTTTTATCTCTGTATAATATTCGAGCAACGTCTTCTCTTGCATATTTGCTCGATAGATCTTCAATAACAATTCATGAGCATGAGACAGGTCTTGTTTACCAGCATACAAGAACTCTAGATACTCCCATAACTCCTTGACTGTATCACAGTGACCAATCACATCATCCACGGATGAATCGAGAGTGTTCTGAATCTGATTGAAGAGCTTATCATCTTCCATGAGCCATTTTTTTCGAGTTTTATTATCACTTTCTGTTTCCTCAGGTGGATCCTTGATTAAATGGTCTCCCATATCAATGCTGGACACATATCGTCGGATAATCCCCTTCTATTGAATATAATTCCTTTTTTCTAATAACTTCCGATTAGTAATTTTGGTGGAGGAAGTGACAATTTCAATCACCATCTTCTTACCTCCTCTGCCATATTATCTAGCAAATAACTCTCAACTCAATTGATTCACAACAATCTCAGCACCAAACAACCAGGATTCACAAAAACTCCAAGCCAACACAAAAGGATCAGTAATGCTAGACTTACCGACCTAACTACCGACTTTGACATACCGACCCAGCTACCTAACTACCTAAATCTCAAAATTCGACTCAATTCGCATGAGTCGGTATGTCAAAGTCGGTAGTTGGGTCAGTAAGTCTAGCATTACTGCAAAAGGATAGCCAAAAATGATTCACAACAACTCCACGTTCACTGCACCAAACAACAACAGAGAAGAGGGACTGGAACAGAATCAGCATTCGCTTGAAAAAGAGAAACAAAGGTCGCCGGAGATAACAGAGGAACAAAGAACAGTCGCCGGAAAAAGAGAAACAAAGGTCGCTGGAGATAACAGAGGTCGCCAGAGAGATTTGGGGAACAAAGAACAGATTCAGACGTTGTCGGAAAAAGAAAAGCTAAGGGCAGACGTCGCCGGACAGAGAGAAACCATGGACAAAGACGTCACCGGAGATCGCCGAAAAACAGAAACGAAGGATTGGGTCGCCGGAAAACAGTAACAAGGAAATGGGTTTAAGGTTTAAGGCTTCATGCGTCGTCTAGGAGCTCTGATACTATGTTCCATTTTCTATGTTCCTTGTATATCAATAGTACAACCTAACTAAAATATATACACACACTCAGCAATTACATATATACCCTTTACACTATATATACATAGTTTCCAACAGTGATATTGATGATGAAGCAGTTGATTTCTTGTAACTGATTATAGTTAACATTTTTTCTATTACCCAAATGAAAATTGATATTTAAATAATTGAAAGGAAAAACACTATATTTTGAGAGAATCAACCACACAATCACCTAGTTCATCAAAATCTACGGTGAAATATGTGTCTGGATAACTCAAGTGGCCAGTCTTTTATTTTTATTCATTAAAAAATTTACGTAAAGTTGGGCCATTATAGGTTATTAGCATACTAACGTGTTATTGCCTCTTGTTTTACTCAAAACATATTTCTTTTGTCATCATCATTTACCTAATATAGTTGCTACCTTTTGCAACAGGGATGGAATTCTATGGAGACAGTAATTTCAGCTGAAAGGCTGGCCCTGACCCTACAATCAACTGGCAGCTTAAGAGAAGCACAAGAACTTTTTGAAAGGTACATTGTTAATCATATAGTGAACAACAAAAGTGATTATCAATTGGCTAAATAAATAGGAACAGGAATAAAAAGAGTTCTTACATAATTCCTTATAGGTGTCTTGATGCACGGAAAAGCTTACTTCCTCCCAACCATATTCAGGTATGCTGTTTTGACACATAACTCCTAAAATTATTTTGGCACTATTATAGAATGCGAACTTGATTAAATCAGAGAAAGTAGAAACAGAGAGAGAGAAATGATTGATTGGTACAAGAGTATATTTCAATTGTATTAGAATGTTTGAAAAGATGGTATACTGTTAAGAGGCAAATCAAATGCAAAAGACAACTACTTTGGCATCATGTAAACTTGCTAATATTACATAAGGTGTACACACTGCATAATCAGTTCTCTATCTCTCCACTAAACCTCCGAAGATGGAAATCAGCGAGGAGAAAAATCACACAAGAATTGAAAGGGAAGGACAAATAGAAGAAATGGGAGAAATATTGAAGAAATGGAGGAAACAATAGAAATTAATCTTAATTTAATTCATCATCCTGTCTAAAAGAAAATCAATTTAATACCCTCTATCTATAGAGGTCAAACCCTAGTTCAACAAAAGTCTAATTACTAAAAAATAAAAAGGTATAAAAAGACCTTGAAATCAATCCCCAAAATAAATAAAATAAAAGACTAAATTAATGTTGCATCCATATCTATGTTTAACATAAGTAATTTTCAAAATTCTATGTACACTGTGTCTTCTTTTTACTTCTAATTTTTTTCACATTAAGACTAATAAGAGTTCAGGATTAACTCCGGCATTGTGTGTGGCTGTTTTCTATAGTATTTATAATTTTCTAAAGTATTCAGTTTTACTGTTATTAGATGAATTAGTATGTTTATTTTAAATTTATTGTGAGATTTTGATGCCACATTTTGCTTCTAGTGTTATTTGACTAGGAATTGGCAATTCTTTTGAGTTGATAATAATTGTTAATAATGGCACATATATGACGAGACTTGCTGCAGATTAGCGCCAACATGCTTCACATTGCCAGGGTAGCAATGCTAAATTCCAACCAATTAAGGAAGAGGCACGTTTCTGAAGCAATTGGTGAGCTTGACCGAGCGAAAGAACTATTAGACAATTCGATAAGGTTTGTTGATTTTATTTCATATAAATAACTAATAAAAAAATTAGAAACTTGAGATGGTTTGCAAATTAATAGAACTTATATTTTTACAGTACCTTCTGAACTAGTACCCTATATATGTTAAAAGTTCGCAACAAACTCACATTTATTAGCTTGTGGCTGTAGTGCGTGATTATGACCATTATTATTGCAGTGTTTTTGAGACAAGTTCTACTTGTAGTCACCCTATCTTTCACGATTGAGATAAAATGGTAAATAAAGGAATAGTCAAGTCTCTTTAGCTGGAGTGTAAGGAAATTAAATGAAGCACAGAAGAGGAACATATGCGGGTGCTAGCATTAAAGAGAGTTGTCATTAATGATTAAGTCTATCAAATTAGAGTCTTGCAGCTCTTGGGATAATTGATTTATTAGCTTTCTTTCTCAGTTTTTTTTTTTTTTCTTTTTCTGGATTTGTTTTGGATGCCTTCAATTTTAGACTCTAAAGTTTACCCTTAGGGGATGCTTTTTTGTGTCATTTCAATGTGAGGACAAATACCCAACAGGAAAGGCTAAATCCCAATATCACTAGAGACTCCTTCACCATCCATATGGAATGATCTATCGTCCTTTAACCTCAAACCAACCTTAACTATTCAATGTTGGACTCACAGGAGATTGCATTATATGTATGTCTTAATCACACAGTCACGTTTTAGAGTCCTCTAATGTTAAAGACCTTTACAAAACTAATGCTCCATCATGTTTCACTTGTTTAGATGAATTAATAATGATGTGTAGTAATTAATCTCTTTTCTTTCTTTCTTTTATTTTTTTTTATTTTTTTTTTAATTGAAGTTTCCTCAGACATATTCAAGATAAAGGTGAATTTGGTTCAGAGTTGTCAGTTCCTTTTTTATTTTTATTTTTAGACTTTATCTTGATGTTGTGTATATTCTTACTAAATATGTTGTTCTTTCTCCATGATAGGATAGCACGCCATGTTTTAAGTAAATCAATGAAACAGAAAGGTGAAAAGCACAATTATGGAGCAGACAGAGAAACTATAAGAGATAGGCGTGCCACATTGGTCATACTGGTTAGCTCTCTTGCAAAGAATTCTTTAAATTTTGAATTATGATTCTGGCATTGGTAGTTAAACAAGTTGTTGTAGAGGTTCTGGTAATATTTGTTTTAGTTGTTTCATCTTAAATTGTCATGCTAATCTAATATTGATTTCTGTCTCTGCATTTTATACACTAGGGTTTTGCATCTATTAGAGTCTGCAAATAAAATGTGTGAAGAACTCGTGAATTCATGTATTTGTTCTCTCTTTCTTTTTTGGCAAATGAAAATTTGTCATTTCAAGAAAAAACTTTGCCTTCAAAATTCTGTGTCTGTGTTGGAAACTTCAACCAATTGAGTATCTGAGAGTCCCATATTAGCTACTGTATTGGCTGCTGTAGTTCTCTCCCAATTTCCGCTAGGAAGCTAGCTTGATTTCTTGCCTTGTTATGAAACAATTGCTGACAGTGGAAAACGTATTAAATAAATAAAACTGACTTGAAAGCATATAATTTGGATCCAAAGAATATGTAAATTCAAATTTATGACATTATCAAATATGTATTCTTGATAAATTTTTTCCAAAAGAGTGCTGATGGACCATGGTTGTGTTTGCAGTTACAATCACTTCAAGCTCTTGGGCTTCTGGAGATCACAAAGCAAGAGATACAGGAGACAGAGGTTAGTATACAAGTTTTATGATATTCTAACTGCTGGCAAATAGAGTCGTCAATACTACAATGTGATATTAAAGGCATTGTGTTTATATTATATATAAGTACTAATACATCGTATTTGCTGAGGATGTGCACATGTAAAGTTATTTGATGAAGTTTCTACTATATCTGGGAGGTATTGATACTTAGTGTTCTGTAGGCCTTGGATAAGAATGACAATCTTTAAATGAAGGTGATGTAATCCATATCCAGTGGCCTTTTCTTTTATTAATACCTTTCTGTATTGTAAAATATACTTGTTTGTTTATGGAAATTTTGGATATGAATTTCTTTGAAGTAGGAGAGACAAGACCCAAGAAAGCCAACATTTATGGTGGTACTACTGGAGTATTTCTAAACTCTCATCATTTAGGAGCTTACATTTCTCCGTCTCTGAACTTTTTGTGACGACAAAAGAGCTTCTTGTAACCAATTCTCTCTATGGTTTATAACTGCTATATACAGTTCAGAAAAAGAGTTGGGTATCTTATGCTAGATCCTTATTCGTGAGAGACATCACCCAACTATTTTTTGGGGTTTAGTGATTAGCAAGCATATGTGAAGTGTACTAGTGTAGGAGGAGCAGAATGTGATTGATAAAAAATACCATTGCTTGTAACTAATTGTAATCATTTTGGAAGCAGCTGCACAAAGATGTGCTCTATGATGCAGTGAAAATCACTTGTCTAGATCCAAACAAAATTTTGAAAACCTTTAAAAGATAAGTCCCAAGCTAGTTGTTTGGGAGGAGTGCATTTAGATCTTGTTCTTGTTGTTTCCTCGTCTATTGTTTAATTTAGAAAAAAAATTTGGTACTCTCATCATTTATTTTGGCTATATCCTTAATGCTAGTTATTTCTTCAGTTTCAAATGAAATCCAATAAGGAGCTTCCTTGGTTTTGGGGCTTAAACTTGCATATCTCGAGCGAGCTTTAGAGTCCTATTCCTTGAACAATCCTTTTAAACATGACTTTTGCTTCGGGGATATGTCATAGTAAACCTTATCTAAATAATGTATTCTCACCAGATGGCTCTTGATTTTCACATAGAAGTTATGGAAAAAAGGTGATTGCTGCTTAGGTCATTTCTCCTAAAAAATCTATCACTTTTTATTTATTTATTTATTTATTTTTATTGACCATCATTTTCTTATAGTAAAATAAATTGCAAAATCCACATCACCAAGGGTTTTGCCTTCAAGAACTCCAGGAGCTTGACCCCTATAAACCACTTGGTCTCTCAACATCCATTGCCTTTAATAAGAAGTAATTTTTTTTTTTTTTTTTTTCTGGTAATATCTGGTTTGCAATTGCAGAATGTTCTTCTTGACATATTCATTGATGCAAGCCTAACTGAAATGCAGAATCATATAAATTTTACCGGAGAAGTTGAAATTGCTTATTTTCTTTGTCATTAGAATTTGGAAGAAATGACCATCTATTTGTCCAAGCTCGTAATTGTTCTTGTTTGTCATTTAATTTATTTATTAATTCATTTCGTTATGGTATGCAAAATAGTGATAATGCTTCCTCTGTGACAGCTAAAGGAAAATTTGCCTTTTCATGAGGCTGAAAGTGTACTATTTGAATGCATTGCTGCTTACAAAGAGGTAAGTTTTCTGGTGACCTCTCAAACTATGTGCATTGTCTTGATAGGTCACTTCAATCCAGATCTCTTCTATATTCATCGTATCATCTGAATGAGGATTTGACATTACAATCTGCTCGGTGCATATTAATGGTGTTTATTGTGAACCTGCTGATTTGAGAACAGAGCAAATCCAAAGAGGTGGTTAAATTTTTGTTAGAGCTTAAATATACTATTTTTCAATCCTTATATATTTTCTTAAACTATTAGTTCAAGTAATAACTTAACACGACATCAAAATTGAGATAACCAAGTCTATTGTATAAAATCCCCTAGGACAACCTAGATTATTTAAATGATAAAAAGTTCTTTTTCTGACTAGGATTTTATTTGTGGTGTAGTCGTGTTTGGTTCACATGTGAGCGTGTTGGACTTTACCTATAAGGTTAAGCTTTTAGGTTAAATGGTAACTTAACAAATATAAATTATAATATATTAACACCTTAAGGTTGCTTTGACTATAAACGTTGAAGAGAGTTATAACTTTTTCTTAGTAGCATCTCCAAGTTCGTTCCATCATTTTGAATTATAGTTTATTTTCTTGATTTTGCCCTCCCAGAAAATTATATCTTCTGATTGCTGGCTACTAGGTCTACTGTTTTCCAATAATTTGATGAAGCATTATAACCCTACTGGGATAAACATTGTGATTGATTTTGTTGAAATAAACAACTCTCTCATTTTTTGGTTGGAGTATGAAATTCCCAGATTGGCAGGCTTGTGTATGCTGAAATTTAGAAAATAATGATTAACCTAGATTTGCGTTCTTCGCAGTTCGCAACAGAGGAGTCAATTAGTGATTCTCCAGAAGTGAAGGCAGAGTATCTTTCATGTCTGAAACATCTTTCCAATTTAATGGGTGACGCCAATGTTCGGGGGACACACAATTCTAGGGAAGCTACTTTGCAAGAATTGAAAGAGGAAATCAAGCATTTAGAACTTGAAACTTCTCCCAATAGAAGATATAAACACTAAAACTGTGGCCAATTTCGGTATAACCGGAGGTTACAGCTGGAGAACGATCATCTATTTGTTTGCTTGAAGTAACTGGTTCAGTCCCTCTGTGACGTGCATACAAAAATTAGGGCGAGGAGGTTCAATTCAATTTGTAAGCTATACCATACATAAAATAAGAAGAGTAATGCTACATTTATACTATCCATTACATCATTTTTATTACATCATCACCATTTTATTAATAATTATTTTATTATAATATTAAAATTTTAAAATAATTAAAATTTTGTGTAAATGTGGGATATGTCACATCATGGTGTAATGAAAATGATATAATGCGTAGTGTAGATGTAGCATTACTCAAATAAGAATGGTCAGGGTAGTGTTGTTTCCTTTTCTTAGCCATTTTCCCGGAATTTTCTTGGTAACTCTGTACAATGTCTTGAATTCAATTTTATAGATGAGAAGTTAAAGATTTTAAACATGGTTGTCAAATTGCGTATAATATCGTGTAGCAAAAACCTAATTTTTTGAATTGTGTATCGTATTGTATCGTAGCATACACATTTTTCAAAAAAATAAATAAAATAATAAAAATTTTATAAAAATTAATATAATCTTTATGATTAATTAAGGAATTTTGTGGTATTATTAACTTTAAATTATAGTATTACATTATCAAAATTAATAATCTATATCATTTTCTTTCAACCATTCATATCATTTCTAATATCAATGTCAATATCTGTATCTCCACTAGTGTTATTATTATCACGTAAAAGTAGGTAACACATATTCCTTTTCACTTTCTTCATGTAAAGTGGGTAAATTTAGGCAGGTTTTAGTGAACTCGGTTGGGTGACTCGATCCGAATTTTTTTTTGAGCCTTCGACCCAATTTAATAAAGTCATATCAACTTGTATCAATATTTTTAAGGATATGAATGGATACGTATCGTATCATAGGACACATATTAACGTATCGAAAGGCTTAGGATACATTCTCTGATACATATCGTTGGTGACTCGTATCAAATCATATTGTAAGATATATATTCCGTATTGTAAGATACTAATAACAATGATTTTAAATTTGTTTTCCAAGGCTTAAAAATAAATTATGAGTTAATTTTAGTGTTTCCAGATGGCAACGGGCCACAACCTGGAAAAAAACAGATCATTTAACATATGAGGACTCAAAACTCATTAATTAAATTATGAGTTTCCTCTTCTTGTTCAGATATGAACATGTGTATATAAGTTAAATCTTTTAAATGCAAAGATTTGTTACCATAAACTAATATTTTCTGAAGAAGCTTCATTTATTAGAAAGAATAACCAATCAATGTTATGCCTAAAGGATGGATGTTTAATGGGCACTCACCCTTTTTAGAAGCACATGCACCGTTTAATTTCTTTGTTTCCTCTTCAAGCGTCATAACCGTTATAATATATATATATATCATATCCTTTGTTTCACCTTCCTTCTACAAAAAACTACGTTGACAACAGAGTCAAAACACATTCCACAGTACACAACACTGCGACACACAATTATCCTATAAGGTTTCTCCCTCCCTTCTCTCTGAATTTTTTTGTTTATTATCTGTTCATATTCAAAGTTTGTGATTTCGTATGGTTGGGTTCCGTCCACTTCTTCATTTATTTAATCACTCCATGCTGGAGTGTGTACATATCTGTTATATATGGTGATAACCGTCCCTGCTGTGCTTATTAGAAAAGGTCATTAGGAATGAATTTTAAGTTTGGTCATGGACAGAATCGCCAAGAAAGGTGAAGATAACTTAAAATATACAGAGGTCTGGAATTTGTACCTGTAAGTCATCAATACTATAAACCAAGAAAATGACTTTTGGTTACGTCTGTGTTTTATTCTTCATCTTCTGCATGTCCTTTTCGTCTACTTGGTTACAATTCGCCGTTTATTATTTATATTTTTCTATCATGCTCTGCCCAGAAACAGAGCATCACAAATTCATGGGAATTCTCGGCAATTCACAAAAAAGTTTGAAATTTCTTTGCAGTTGAATAATTACACTGTATTTTGCATAGAAGAGAAATATCAGAATTGAGGCTTTTTTTTTTTTTGTTTTTCTGGTCATTTAGAACAAATAAATTAACTCATAATTTGTGAGATGTTCCATGTTGTTCTTTTTTGTGTTTAATTATATATGTCACGATCCATTATATATATATATATATATTTATATATATGATATTTTATTTTTCCTTTTTAATTGTCATTTTCATATTCTCAGACTGCTTTACTTGCACTCAAGTTTTCGTTTCCTTGTCCTATAAAATGTCCTTGTTCATTCTTTTTCTCGCCGTAGAAGAGAAGCTTGAATGTGTAAATTTTTGATATAAGAACAAAGGCAGATTTTTAGCATGCATAAATTACTGGAAGCATAAATTTATTGAATTTGATCACTGTTTTGCAGGTTTCATATACTGGAAAAATTTATAGAGAATATCAAATGGGTTGTCCTCCTCATCTTCTGTTGCTGTTAATTTTATTCTTTATTCCACCAAGTGCCAGTCATGGGTTGGTTTTCTTCTGGCACTTCTGCAGAGAAAACTCAAGCTGACGATTTCCCTTCACGGATGAAAGATAATTCCAATGGTTTTGTTGCTGAATTCTCTGTAAAGGGCTTTTACAACGAGAAGGGAAAGCAGCTTGTTGAAGAAGCTAAAGGCAAATTGGTTGGCTCAAACACTTGCTGGAAAAATGCTTATAGACATCTCTTTGCTGGTTGCTCGGTGATTATTGCCGCTGAAGAGAAGGTCTAGATTTGCTTGGCATCTCAGTGATTGCTTTCAAAAGGACTCAGGGAGACCTCCATTCCTTACTGTGATCCAAAATCTGCCATGATTAATTGCCTCAAGAAATTAGACGACAAGAGCATAAACTTATCTTGCTTTCTTATTGGAAACCAACTCTATTTGCTATCAGTTACAGTTAAGTACAATTAGTTTATTTCATCGAATTAGGAATTTTTCACTGCTTGAAACAAAGTCTGACAAGCTTTGTTTTGTCATTGCCAGGGCTCATACATTCCAGCATGAAACTGAGAGATTGGTGATGACCTTAGACGTTCCGCGGAACATACAGAAAACAAGCTGGAAATTATAGAAGACAAGTCTGATACTCTATTGCAGAGTTCCAGCAAGATTTATGATTCGTTGGATTCGATTGATCACCGGGTTCAAAGGGTAGTCAAAGTGCAAAGGGTGTACAAGATCATATGGATTTTTGTCGAGGCATTCGGAAGCTGTTTATCACCACCAGAAAAACGCATCTTCTCAAGCGGAGCTACAGAAGGACAAGTGAGAAATGAAGGAAAAGTTTGATGAAGGGATGACATGCTTCATGATGCTCTCGTAATTGGGTGAAGAAGTTGTAGCTTGAGAACAGGCCATTGAAATACAGAAGGAGATCGGCAAAGTTGGAGATGCAATGTTTTCCAGGATGGAAAATCTTCAGAAGAAAGCTGATGATCTTGGGAGCATGGCAGGGGTTTCTATAGATAAACAACAACTACACTTCAGGGTCAATCCACTGCACTTGATGGTCTTCAATTTTTAACCAAATTTCGTCCGAAGCACTTGAAGAGAGCAGGTAAATTGTGAAAAAAAAAAAAAAAAAACTCATTTAGTAAAATTATCGTCAAGTTTATCTAAACATTTCTTGGTTGATGATTACAGAAGAGACTGCAAGAATTAGCTGAATATGGACATAAACAACAGGAAGAGCTTCTTAGAGACAAGCACAGCTCAGAAGTCCATGATCACCTGGTTGAAACTCGAAATCAATATTGGCAGCTCAGGTTTGCATTTCTTATAAGCCTTATGACCCTTAATCGAAGTAAATGTTCGTATTAGTATTGAAATTCCATTTTCATTTTGCAGGAAGCTTTCGAATCAAAGCAAGCTAGCAGTTCATTTCTCTAGATAGCTATCCGCTTTGCAGAAAACCATGCTGTTGGAGTCGCGAGTAATTAAGGCCTTCTTCATCTACTCTGTCTATTTTCATCATCTACATGTTCACCAGTACAAGCAAACATACACCATTAGGCACAGGCTATATATGGGTATGCCCATCATATTCTATTTCAATTATTGTGTATCTGTATCAGTTTCCAGTTCTAAAATTTATTTTTTATTGACAGGCTGTGCCTTACATTCTTGATCGAAGTGTCAATAGTCCGTTCACGACGAATGAATTGAACAACAAACATGGATAATAACTTCAGTTAGATCACTTTTCTGATTATTTCTGCATTGCAGCTTCTACATGCCATTGTTACATACAGTATGAGGAATGAAGAGTTCACAAAAGTTTTGTTTCAAAGACTTATTTATAGATTCTAGAACTGGTAAAACAATGGTTGTTGTTTCGCGAAGATATAATTCTTGAATTATCAGATGCTACAAACCTTGCTTGAAAGGTTAATGCATGCAAAGAAACAAAGAGTTGTCATGGGAGTCGGACTATGATTTGATTAGACTGGCCTTCAGGGATGGATAGAGAATTACCAGAGGAAGCAAATGTTTTGAAGACCCCAATTATTTGATTTCGGATAGTATTCCAGAAGAATCGGAGAGAATTTTATCACAACTTCTTCAATTACAACAAGATACAACTTCGTCCGCGCAGCAACATTGATACTTCTTGTAGGAATGAGATTAGCTATTGTATTGATATTTTTATTTTATCCCATTCATGACTAGATCAATTTACTTGAAATGTAGATTCATACTGAGCAGGAAGCAATTCCAGACTGATTATATGAACTCTCCCAATTCTTTCCATCATTAAACTTAATCTCAACATGGGACACGCGTCCCCTGGTCCACGCACCTGAATGTAATTGCAATTCCTCTGGATTTGACCGTAATATGAATGAATGATGCCACGACCTTACAGAATGTGTGCTTCGCTGTATTTGTGCCAAACGTGTATGTCGTAAGAAGCTCTTTGGAATCTCCCAAAGCTCAAACCTTCGAGAAGGAACGATGAAGTGCATTGGCTCTCATTGAGCAGTCAGAACAGTTGCATTTCCAAGCTACAACACTACTCGGCGCTTGGACTTGCCATCTTACTCTTCCACAGTGGCATCCGCCATTATGCCAACTAAATCTTCTCCATCCCAGCACAAAGCTTCAGCATGTGATCAGAAGATGGTAATTTCCTTTGTGTTTTGAGCTAAACTGCAATAAGTTATATCAAATGTCATTTCCATATGCATATACGTATTCAGTCACCAAATATTGAAATACACCATTTCTGTCATAATCACTGATAAAGGATAGGTTTGAGACCTAAAAAGAATCGACCAATCCAAACCTACCACGACAAAACGTTCTCAAAACTCATGAATTATCAAAGCTTCAACAACGGAACTCAGGGTGTGCTCAATCG